CGTGGGAGTCAGCATTCCACAGGGAAGATGGAAGGTGAAATGGGTGTAATCCCAGAAGAGTAAAGAAGCTATCAACATCTCTGGGGAATAGTTAAGACCTGTCTTCGACAGCATAACCAGGTCGAATATCCCCATGTCTTTCCAGATCGAAGCCTGACGTTTCTCCATTTTTTCCAGCCAAGCACTATAATCAGGAGTAAGGCTAGGGCCAGACCTGAAAGCCCTAACACCTTTATTGAAGAAACGGAGGTCGATTTTCTCTTTAGCAGGATCTTCATTATCCTCTGCATCTTTCTTGGAGCATCCGACCGGTTTGAGTCTCTCAAGTACCGGAAAGTAACTTTTGATCTTCATGGCCTCAGCAATGCTTGGGTATAATGGGCCAGACATAGCAAAGATTTGGTTGGAATATCCAACCGGAATCATGAGGTGGCGTGAATAAGCATCACGTACAGCAATGTCCAAAGGCTCAGGGACCCTTCGTTGGCCCGTGGGAGTCACTACGGGAGCGGTGGAGAAAACCCTAGGTTTGACATTTCCAGAGGGAGTGTTGGCGCTAGGAGCATTGGAAGAACTAGATGCCATTGTTGGTACTAAGGTTGAGGACGAAGTGAAGAACAAGGGGTTTGCAAAGTTGGCAAGAGTTTGTATGCAAATGAGGAATTCTGAAAGCAAGGTAGCGTAAAAAGTCCCACAATGGGTACTTACCGCTATTTATAGTAGTGGGAGAAATCCCCAAATTCGAGGACATTAAATGCCATTTAATGTTGCAGAAGGTAGTGGGACACGTGGCGTCTCCCTGTTGTTGTAGCCGTTCTGCAGAAATGGAAGGGTGCAGCGTGCGCCCTCGTTTTTGGGAATTGTCATGATGACAATTTGTGAAATGACGTTTGGCACACTGCACGCTGTACTGAAGTGACGTCTTAGGTACGGATGAATGATGGTTTTTCCTTGGGATTGTCAGTGGTTGGTAGAAGACAACAAAAAGTGCACAATTTAATTTGTGACTAAGAATGAAAAGACAGGTGTCGAATGGCATTTCAAAGAATGCCTTTTTCTTTCAGAGTCGAAATAAGGCATTCTTGGGGGGCAATTTGTTGGCTCTTAAATTCGACACCCTTGTTTCATTAATATCAGCCATTAAAGCTGAAGGATGTTTTCGATCAGCTGGGTCTGTCGAAATGCCCATCGAAAGATGACACTGTACTTAGAAGATTTCTTCCAAGGGATAAGTTGGTTGCCTTCGACGTCGAAGGTGTTTCTCGTCGAAGATGCTTCTCGACGAAGGTGTTCGATGGTTCAGAGTGGAACGGTTTGAAATTCAAGCATTTGGAGGGAAAACGGTTTCCAGCGGTTACCAAGTGCAACGTGCAAAGATCTGGAGCGTCGAACGTTGAGAACGTGCCAAGTGGAATCATCTCGAAGCAGTGTAACTGCCCGACGGTTACTTGGGATGTTTTAGTATAAATAGTAGTAGTTCACGCAGTTTCTCGCGTGTGTTCACAATTATATACAAAGTCACTCATATAGATTCGAGTACCCAGCGTGTGAGAAAGAATTGTTGAGAATGTATGTGTGAAACACCACCTTTATTAATCAAAGTCATTTACTTTTTCCAGAAACTTTACTTGCTTTCTTCTTTACTTTCCCTATCGAAGTCCTTTACTTCAAGCCTTCATTTATTTTACCAAGCCTATTTCTTCATGCAATTTACTTAAAGCCTCTTTATTTTATTGTCATTTAACCATTATCCAATTTAATCAAAACCTCAAAATCAACCTATGTCTTAGGATCAATCTGATCGATCCTGCGAGTAACCAAATAAGTAACCATTTGGAGGATCAGCGGTTGTTTACCAATAACCACGGTAAACAGCGATCTCGTACATCGCGAAGCTATACTCTGGATACACCGAGCAGATTCGTGAACGGGAGGACGGGCGCATGACAACGAAATTCTTTTGGAAGTCGGGCTGGCCCTGGCCCGCTTCGAGGACAACATATGGGTTTCGGTCGCCTCGGCTGTAGATCGACGCGATCCCTCGGGGCTCGGCGCCCACCCAATCCAGCAAAGGGTCGTCGACAGTATCAATCAAGCTGACCGACTCATCGGCACTTTGTTCTTCACGATCGTGGCGCCCAGAGGAGCACGGCTCGTCCACCATGGTTACCTGTAGAGCACGGGAAACCAGTCAATTGGGCACGAAGCCATACGCTCGACAAACCACGTCGCTCCACGCACGACCACAAAAGTCAGTTTACACGAGTAGTCGCCTCCCCGACATCCTGAAAACTCGATGTGTTCTTCCCCAAACCGACCACGCGGCCACTCTCCAACATGTCGACCCAAGGTATGAGCATGGCGAGCAACATCATGAGGCCTACGGCCAAGACCATGAACATACCGGGCGCGATCATGAAGCAGGCGCCCTGGATCATGAAGACCCCGGGCAGCGCTGAAGTTTATCACCTAAAATATGAATATGCCGACCACAAACATGCGTCTGCCGATCCTAAGCATGAATATGCCGGCCACAAACATGCGTTTGCCGATCCTAAGCATGAATATGTCGAGCTAAGTATGAGTTTACCGGGCTAATCCCACACACACAGTCCCTAAAACATCTACAAACGCCAAAAATCATGCATTTTAACAGGAAAATGAAGAAGATAAATCACTTACTTGAATCAAAAAGTAGGATTCGGCTACGGAGTAGAAGAATCTGTGACAGAAGATCGCGACTGGGAAAAATCTGGAAGAGCAACAGCAGAGAGAGCACAAAGAATAGAAACGTGTTATGGGGCCCAAGGTTCCTATTTATAGTGATGACGTGGAATACCAAACGTCACCTCGGGCAACCACAGAGTCTCTCTCCCCGACGCGCTGCTCCCAACGCAATGATGACCCTATCCCCCTAGGGTGGCGACACAGTTCCCGAAAGATACCTCGTATGCTCGACAGACGCGCCCCGGTGAGGATCCTCCAGGCATCCACCGCGGAAGATGTCTCCGAGCACGGCACGAGGAGGCCCTCGAGGGTCTACACCTCTGTCCCGGGCACGAGACTTTGATGAGGAAACGACCTGAGTTCAAGCCATGGCTCCTCACAAAGGAACCACGACTTGGGGGGCTCCTGTTCTGGACTGGGCCCGACAGGCCCAAAAGCATTGCAAAGGCCCAGTCCAAATGGACTTACAAGGGCCACGCCGACCAAAGAGTACGACCGTGCCCGACGGGTAGTCGCAGGCTCGACAGCACACCTCCAGCTCGACATGCTGCGGTCCAGCACCACATCCTGAGGTCCAGCTCGACATTACCTCGAGCACCCCAGCTAGGGCAGACTCAGTCCATTGTTCCCCCAACGATACCCCGAAAAGACGGCGTCTCTGTCCGCCCGCACTTCACGCAGAACATCCAGGAAGGGGACCACATGCGGGTCCCCACTACGCACGTAGAACCTGGCAGTTCCTCCATTGGGCCAAACCTGCCCGGCCCAATGAAGGAACCTTGGCCCAGCGCTAGGGGCTATAAATACCCTCTGCTTCCAGAGGGTCAGGTATTCATCATTCTAACCTTACACTTGCTATTATCTGCTCGTACTCCTACTTACTTTAGCATCGGAGTGCCTTGCAGGTACCCCCCACTTCGTTCAAAAAGCTTTCTGCCCGGAACCAACCGTGACGGTCCATTTCTGATCAGGTCAGATTATATATATATATATATATATATATATATATATATATATATATATATATATATATATATATATATATATATATATATATATATATATATATATATATATATATATATATATATATATATATATATATATATATATATATATATATATATATATATATGCGGTAGTACGGATTTCTATTAGTATAAAAATAAAGTGAAATTTTATAAGCATATTTAATTCCTTTATAGTTAAAATGATACTGCCAATCCGTCTCCAACATCTTAGGCATGAAATTAAATATGTAACTTAAGTATTATTCTTGTTACTCACTCCTTTTACTTGGTCGATTCAACTTGTGCCTGGATAGTGTATCAGCCTTGATGCTAAAAATAAAGGTGTCCGTTATTTTTCTATATTATCTTATTCTACCAAAAAAACTGTCAGCATCACTATAGTTTTCCATCTTCACAACCGCGTTTTCGTAGACAAAAGAACGTTTCTACGTAACACAACAAGAAAACAATTAAAAAATAAAAGGAGTACTAGAATATTCTCTTTTCAATATTCACATTTATTTTTTATTGAATAAAAATTCATGTAAAACTACATTTTTACTAGGAATGTAAGAAAGTGCATATATTTGTTAGATGTCATACTCTATGGAAAAAATCAAGCTTCATGAGATTAATTAAAATGTTCGTAATTAGAGGACATGTCTAACTCTAAGTATCAATTATTATCATAATATATACTATAAACAAGCCTGGTTCTGTGCTCACTTCAACTCTATAAACCTTTTCTAATATTTACATAATTTTGAACAGGTCTATCTCAATATTTTTAAATACTTTAAATAATTGAATCAATTTATCTCATACATAACCTCCATTTCCACAACTTAGCATTCAAAGTCTCCAATCTATAATACTTAACAGCAATTTTTAGTCTCAATTACTTTGCAAGTAGTTTGTTGTCCTGTGCACTATTTCAGCATTATATTTTGATGATTCGATTTGATTCAAACTTGCTACTATTATATTTATGTATTTATTTGGCAACTTTGTAGTTGAAGTTGTGGTCACAGAAACTTCTCCTAGTCCTTCTTTTCAAACATAACATTGTCGTAAGAATATCTCATTAGACAAGTCAAATCTCAAACCTGCATAATTGACCCAATCAACAATCAACCATACCCCACAGAATCCTTGACATCTATCACTATATATATTTTCTCTTCCTCTAAACTTAATCACATATTGCTTGCATTGCATCAAACTTGAAACTTTTCCTTAAAAAGCCTATTTTTTCATACACAAATGTATTTCTCTTTCATTAGTTTTCAAGCACTATCAAGAACTTGTTTCTCCTATTTACTCATCTCCTTGGTTTTCATCAATGGCTATCAAGCTGAGATTAGGAGTAGAGATAACAAAGTTATACCTATAGGTGCAATGATCGATGTTAACTCTCGTGTTGGGAAAGAACAAAGAATAGCCATGGATATAGCGGCTCAAAATTACAATAACAATTCAAATACCTACAAGCTTGCTCTCCATTTTCAAGAAACTACCAAGAATTCCTTCAGAGCCATTGAAGCTGAAGAGATGATCAAAAAGAAGGTGGAAGTGATTGTAGGAATGCAAACATGGACAGAAGCAGCTTCAGTAGCTGAAGTACTACACGAAGCTGAAGTTGAAGTTCCTATCATATCCTTTGTAGCACCTACAGTTACTCCACCGTTGGTGTCGATTCGATGGCCGTCTATGGTGAGACTAGCTAACAATGGAACAGCATATGTAAAATGCATAGCAGATTTGGTTCATGTTTATGATTGGCATAGTGTAGTTGCCATCTATGAAGATGATGCCTATGGTGGTGATTCCGGGATGCTAGCACTTCTATCCGAGGCACTCCAAAAGATTGATTCGACGATTGAATATCGTTTAGCTTTGCCATCACTTAGTTATCAGCGTGATCCAGGAATGTTTATTCGTGACGAGCTGTTTAAGATAACCGAAAACACACAGTCTCGAGTATTCATTGTATTGCAATCGTCATTAGAAATGGCGATTCATTTGTTTAAGGAAGCTTCACAGATGGGACTAGTGGATGGAGATTCGGCTTGGATAATCTCAGAGAGCGTAACGAATTTGCTGGATTCTGTCAATAAGTCTAGTATTTCTTATATGCAAGGAGCTTTAGGAATCAAGAATTACTACTCAGAAAACAGCAATGAGTATAAAGATTTTGAAGCTCAGTTTAGACAAGCTTTTCGGGACAAGAATCCAGACGAAGATAACCGCGACCCGAGTTATTATGCTTTACAAGCATATGACAGCATTCAAATGGTTGGACATGCAATAGACAGAATGGCCAGTGGCAATGGTAATCACAAAAAGACTTTGCTGCAAGAAATAGTCTCGAGCGATTTTCTTGGTTTAAGCGGAAAAATTCAATTTGAATCAGAACAGCTTTTGCGAAATCCTACTTTGAGGATTGTAAATGTAGATGGGAAGAGTTACAGAGAATTAGACTATTGGACTATAGAAAATGGATTCTTCACCAACATTTCCACAGGAGTAGGTAAAAACGGCAGTTCTAGGAACGCAGAAAGTTTAAGCAGTGTAGTAATTTGGCCTGGAAAGTTGCAAAGAGTTCCAAAGGGATGGAACCTTCCTACTAAACAAAAACCAATGAGAATCGCAGTCCCTGGTAGAACTTCATTTTCCAAATTCGTCAAGGTCGATTATGATGAGCAAGGAAATCCAAAATATAGTGGATTTTGCATTGAAATTTTCGATAAGGTTTTGGAGCTTTTGGGTTATGATCTTCCACATGAATATTATCCCATCAATGGAACCTATCCTGATCTCGTTCAACTTGTTTATAACAAGGTAAACACTCCGGTCTCGTCTCAAACCATAAACTAACCTCATTTCTGCTTAATAACTATGATAATTATCTAATAATGATGCAGACTTATGACGGTGTTGTTGGCGACATGACTATCCTGGCAGAAAGATTGCAATATGTAGATTTTACAGTACCGTATGCAGAATCAGGATTGTCGATGATAGTTACAGAAAAGTCCCAAGAATCAGCATGGATGTTTATGAAGCCCTTCACATGGCAACTGTGGGTGGCAACTGGTGCCATCTTGATTTATACAATGTTAGTAGTGTGGTACCTGGAGAAAGATGATAATCAAGAGTTTCAAGGCACTTGGAAAAAGCAAATCAGCACTTCTTTTTGGTTTACTTTCTCCTCGCTATTCTTTGCTCATAGTGAGTATCGATCTCGTATTTCAACTTAATGATTTGCAAATGTGTAACAAATTGAACTGATTATGTCAGTGCTTTCTTATTGCAGGGGAGAAAATGCATAGCAATTTATCTCGGGTAGTGATGGTATCGTGGCTGTTTCTAGTTTTGATTCTTAATTCGAGTTACACTGCGAGTCTGTCTTCAATGCTCACAGTTCAACAACTGCAAACAAATGTCACTGACATCGAGTGGCTGAAGAAGAACAACATGAAAATTGGTTGTGATGGAGATTCATTTGTTAGGACATACCTTGAGCAAGTCGAAAAATTCAAGCCAGGGAACATCATAAATATTAGTAATGAAAACTATTATGACCCTGTATTCAGAAACTACTCAATTGCTGCTGCATTTCTCGAACTCCCTTATGAGAAAGTATACATCAGTAAATACTGCAAGGGGTACTCGGCTTCTACGCCTACCACAAGATTCGGAGGACTTGGATTTGTAAGTGACAATAGAATTCTAAAACCTGAAACTCTAGTTACAAAGGAAAATCTCTAAAAAAACTTAATTTTTCTTTTCATCCTCATGACACAGATGTTCCAGAAAGGCTCTCCCTTGGTTAGAGATGCTTCTAGAGCTATTTTGCAGCTATTAGAGAAGGGGGAAATGAAGAAACTAGAAGATATATGGTTGAATCCGGACACATGCTCCAAGAATTTGAACTCCGAGAATACAGAAAGTCTGAAGCTTGGAAGTCTGTGGATTCTCTATGTGATTTCTGGTGCCACTTCTACTATTTGTTTTATAGTTTCTGCCATCTATTCTCTAAAATCTAATAAAACACCAAATGATGACTCACAAGTTAATGACTCCAGAAGTTATGTGAGAAGATGGAAAAGTGTGGCTAAATTAACTAGTAAGATTTATAGCAGAAAGCATAGTAAAGCAAACAAGGTGAAGGAAGATGTTACTGATTGTCCTTCCATTACCCCTGAGCATCAGCAGGAAATGGCTCTTCAATTACCGGAAATCATAACAGTCTCTTCCCCACCAACACAGTAGCAGATCAACTAGGAAAGATAACCAACGCTCTTTCATCCAATATTAGATCTAGGAAGGAAACTGTCAATAGTTTTAAATAGTATTATTAGTTTTAATTATTATCCAGCTTCTGATTCTTGGTCACAGTTTTTTAAGGACTCAAAATCATTAAGAAACCGTTACCAAGTCTTACAACTCGTGTAAAGAAGTTACTTGACACTGCTAGGGGGACACTTGTGTAAAGAAATTAATTAATTTCAAATTGTTTTTTTCTTAATCTTTTTGAAACACTTTCATATCATACTTTTTTAGGCGGATAACATTCTACAAATCTGCTCAAAAAAATGCTACAAATCAGAAATGGGCTTCATATATAAATCCACTTGTCATAAAATTACATGCATACATAGCCGGGGGTGTAAAATGTCCAGTCAACTGATTCTTGCTAGCATCGAAAGGATAGGAAAATGATCAATAACTCGCATTTTACAGAAACAAGCTTTGGAGAAAGTACAACTTAATGAAAAATGTCATCACCCTCTACAATCAAAACTTCCCCTGTCAAAGAATTTTAGTACATTAACAAGTCCTACTCGTATTCTGGTAATCTCCGTGAAATTTAATGTTATCTATATCAGAACTGCCACAGAATCACCAATACCCTCTACCTCTACCTCTTCCACTTCCTCTCCCGCGACCACCCCAGCCTCGGCCCCTAACTCCACCCCTCCCTCCTCCAGATACTCTGCCTCTCCCTCCCCCAGATAATATGCCTCTTCCTCCACCAGATAATCCTCCTATCGCTCTATTGACGAGTTGGTTTTGCACACCACCAGAACCTCGGCCCTTCTTCACTGCAATATTGTTGGATCCATTGCCTGCAGTAGCAGGCCGTTTCGCTCTGCAGAAGTAAAACAAATTTAAGTTATCACTCCACTTTTAAATTTTTTGTTGTCCAAATAAACATAGATAAGAAATTGAGCTTCATATTAAATTCATAATAGAGCTAATGATAATAAGACAGTGATATAAGGTACTTTCAAAAGGGAAAGAGAATAAAATGTATTCAAAGGTAAAGACAAAGATACAATACCCAACAGCTTGTACGGTAGTTGACGCGGATTTGGGTGCTTCTTTCCATGAAAGGTTGATTCTCTTATCTCCAATAAAAGAAGGTGCTTTGGCATGCAATGGCTGACCATACAAATTGAACAATTCAGTAATTAAAAGATATGGGAGGACAAAGACAACTGAAAATCCATCTCCTATACACAATATCTTGTTAGCTAAATTTAAAAAAAAAATACTAATAAAACAGGTGTGTCTTTCTTACCTTCGTCATCGTCAAAATATTATTGCAGGTACGCAACCCAGTTGTAGTGTTCTGTTTTTCAGTTTTCTGCAACATCGTGTAAAATGTAAGTGTGATAAGACTCACAAGTTTCTCACCCATTATAAGATAAAAGCATGACACAAAACTAACAAACCACAAGATAAGACTCACAATTTTTTCCTTTTCTTCATCAGTTTTAGCTTTTGCCATAGATTTGTTGTTTTCAGCCATTCCTTGAGTTAATTTCTTGATTGTAGCCCGGGTGAACTCCTCAACGTTTTTCAATCTGGAAAAAGAAAATGAACTAAAAATGTAACCTAACACCCCAAAGTGACTAACAATCCCAAAGGGAGAATGGATACAAAAGAGGCAACAATGACAAAACAATAAAAAGTTTATTAATAATGGAATAATTGCAACCAAATCAAGAGCTTTCACCATCCCAAACTATTGTACTCTTACTAGACATGTGGCAAGTAACAACATTGATATTACTATCATGACACATGGTGATCCTAAGGCGGAACATAGCAGTCATCACGAAAGCAATAGGGCATCTCATTCTAAATGTACTTATTGTCGCGTATGGGGGCACACCAGTGAAATGTTACAAGTTGAACGGTCATCCTCAATCCACCTGTCCAATCAAGGGACCATCCAACGCAGAAATGTTTCACACTTACTAGGACTAATTATGATGATTAACAAAGGTATCAGGCATCTCAACAATCATCTTCATATGTTTGCTCGTTCTGGTAATTCCTTTGCCTATGTGTCCCAACTTCTATGGAACCATGGGTTCTTGATTATGGCGCCTCTGATCATATTTTTGGTAATTTCCTCTTACTTTCTCATATTAGTTACTCCAGTTTTCTATCGTCTATTAACTTGGCTAATGGCTCTTATCAGAATGCTACTGCAGTAGGTAGTGCACAACCCTTAGTTTCTCATATTAGTTACTCCAGTTCTCTACCGTCTATTAACTTAGCTAATGGCTCTTATCAGAATGCTACTTCAGTAGGTAGTACACAACCCTTACCTTCTATTTCTTTAAACACTGTTATATGCTCCTCAACGTCCACTCAATCTTGTTTCTGTTAATTATCTGACTCGTACCATAAATTGCAATGCCACATTTTCTCATAACTTTGTTGTTATTCAGGATCTCTGTACAGGGTTGTTATTCAGGATCTTTGTACGGGGACAGGTGATTGGCACAGGACGTAAGTCACAAGGTCTGTAGTTTTCATCGCAATTGGTTGCCTTCACTGCTACTTCAGCACCAGAGATTCTTCACAGCTTATTTGGATCATGAATTAAATAAATTTTACAGAGGTCTCTCAAATGAAGTTGTTTTGTGATAATCAGGATGCATATCAAATTGCTTCCAATCCCATTTTTCATGAGATCCAAACATATTGAAGGGGGTTGTCCTTTCATTAGAGAAAGTTTTGTCTGGTTATATTTTTACCAAGTCTCTTAGGGGTTCACGAATTGAGTGAATTTGTAGGGGTTCACGAATTGAGTGAATTTGTAATTGTAACAAGCTTGGTGCATATAATATATATTCCAGCTTGAGGGGGAGTGTTAGATTACTTTAAATATTAGGCCTGAGCCCATTGGTATCTAGTATGTATATATGCATAACTTTGTAACCCTAGTAAGTAATGAACCTCATTTATACACTTGCAATATAAGTTTGATTCCACTAATAATCTAATATCATGCTCAAATACATAACTGCAAACCAGACCATACAAAGGTTACCAAATAGAGATTTGAATCATGAATCAGAAGGCTTATTTTCCGCGGCATTGTCAATCACCACAGATTGCGGAAAGTAGAGGCTTGCTAAAATTCTGCTACGCTACAGTGCCTATAGCTACTATTGGACAACACTTTGTACTAGCCGCCAAGGTTGTCAAGATCGGGATCTTGCATAAGATTGGGAGGGGATAGTATGATCATAAAACATAAAATCGTAATTAAGATCGGAAGATCCTGCCCAATTATTTTTGTAAGATTGGAAGGGGGGTAGCAAGATCGTAAAACATAAGATCGTAACAAAAGTCATAGATAATACTAAAACGAAAAATAATACTATATTTGAAGTTTATTTTACATGATATTTTGGTAGGCAAGTGTATTCGAGGGAAAATGGCCTCCGCTGAACCGTAACTGTTGCGCCTCGGCATCTTGTGATCCTTCTCGGCTTGTCATGGTGGTGACAAGAAAACGGCCGATCGGGGCCGGAACTGGCCAAGATCACACATAATCGATGGTTTTACGATTTTTTACAATTTGGCTACAAGCCTACAACACACAATTCTACTTAAGATCGGATCATTTGGGGCGAATGGGATCATAAAATCGTAAGATTTTAAGATATACATTGTGATTTTGACAACCTTGCTAGCCACTGCTACGCTCAAACCTCATTAAAATTCAGGTTTAACTCTATTGCAGTTTATATGTTAAATTTATTGCAGAGTTCTCAATTCAGTTATGTGCCCTAATACTACAAAAAGGTTCTGGAGGTGAATCTAAAAGAAGCCTTTGTTGTCCTTTTACCTTTTGACGACATAACTTTGTTAAATTAGCATAATTTTACCCTAAACTCGTAGGTCTTGGATTCTTGATGGTGGTCCTTCATTAGTATGGTCTAATTAGAACATTGAGGCTTCATAAAGGCTTCTGCATGACCTGACCTTGGAACGGAAACACCTGCCCCTAAACATCTAGTATCCTAAATGACATGTGCACGCACGAGCACACACATACTACAAACAAGATTATCTAAAATATACAAACCAAAGAGTAGATAAATTCTTTATTTATATAGACCAAAAGAAAGTCAATACCTCTCAGTAAAATCAGAATAATGCTCTGAAAAGTCTTCTCCGAGCCTATCAGATGGCTGACCAGTAACAATTTTGTAACCACATAAACTATTGGTGGCATTAGGAACCTATATAACAAACAAATTCAATTATATGCTGCATATAAGTGACTCGCAGTAGCTTGATATTTTCTTACTACTATGACAAAGGTTTACCTTGTGAGCAAGGTGATGGAATGTGTACAACAAGCATTCAACATATGTAAAATTCATCTCTTCTCCAGTCTTCTTCCAAGTCATGTATTTCTAAAAAGAGCAAAGCACACAGTTTATACAAGTAAAAAAAATTGATGTATTGATCTCTGAGATATTGAGACTCAGCCAATATATGAAGCAAAAGCACACACTGTTCAACTTAACAATATAATGCTGCATTTGATGAGAGCGGGAATAGAGCCAAATTTGATGAATAAAGTATGACTCAACTTAACAATATAATGCTGCATTTGATGAGAGCGGGAATAGAGCCAAATTTGATGAATAAAGTATGACTCAACAAGATAGACCCGTGCGCCTTAACAACACTCACTTGATTTTTATAAAAAAATTGAAGGTAAGACTAAACCAAACTATCCACATCAAAATTCCACTATAGCAAGTTAACAATGTTCTCTGAACATCCAAATAACAGCATAAACAAGAACAGATAAACAATAAATTGATAGTTATATCAAAACTGTTATATAATATACAACACATCGATGTCTACCAATCATGCCACTCTTTAAGAAATGTTTACCTTCAACAACTGAACAATAGAAGGAAGCATTTGACGTGAATCTTGTGGTG